GGAGGGGGGGGGGGGGGGACGGAAAAGAATACTTAAAATAAAAAGTTATAAATTATACCTTAAACTTAGAAAAAAACCCCAAACAATAAAATCCCAAATCCATTTTAAGCTCACCTTCATTCTGGATTCTAGAGGCAAGAGCTCTCCAAAGTCAGGCTAACTGGAGAACAACAGGATGCGAGGAAGTCTCGTTTCCTGCTCTGCCGAGACTATAGAGGATACCAAAACCGATACGATTGGATCGTCCCAGTACGTATAGTGCCATAAAAAATCCTGTATCCAGGACACACGTCCAGTCTATTCCTTCACAGGAAACAATACAATGGGAGGATACGAGAAACATTTGCTTCCTTGCGATTTTACATAAAGCAATTCTGACAGGAAGCCACTCTCAGCACGCTCATGGCCGGTATGGTCATCGGTAGCATTTGGTAAAGGGGAGGGGATGGATGTGACACCCTCCAGAGAGATTTTCTCCTAACGTAACAAATATTTAAGAATGAACTAACCTACTGAAGTAAAAAAAACGAGGAAAAACGCTCAAGCGCTCTGAAATTTTGAGGCTAATTTGTTAGGAACTCATCTACTTGATTATAAAAATCTTATTTCAAAAAACTAAACCAACCAACAAAAAAATAACCAAAAAAACCACACAAAACTAAACCAACCAAATAAAAAACAATTGAAACTCAAAATCCACCACTTACACTTCCCTATTTTAGTGGCAGTTTACTCATTTTGAGGCATATTTGAAAACTCTGACATGAGTACCAGCAACAAGATGCTTTAAGGGGCGCTTCCATAGGATTGACAGAGAAAATTGTCTGTTTCAGGTTTTCAAGAGAAGTCCAAGTTGCATGTGACCCATGATCTTCATTCTGGTATTTACAGACAGATCAGCTGTGAGAATTGACTCTTTAAATCATCATATCGTGATGTGAGAAGGAGTTATTCAAGTATCTTCCCTATTCAGCATTGCTGGATGACAAACATCCCCCGGATACAACACGCCCGATTCTGTGACTGCAAGAGTCAAAGCTGAATGTGAGAACCAGGTATCAAGCAAAGTTATTTTTATATTGCAAGTTATTACCAAATAACAAAGTCTGTGTGGTAGATTAACTTGTGTAATAATAGCATAATCTACTTTTCAAACCATGTCATAAGCAGAATGTGAACTCAAACATGTACATGTACATGTTTACAGCTCTTAAAACCTAAAAAAAGCAAACACTTAGAAAGACATTACCTTGGAAATACTGGTATTTGTCTTTAATATTATGTTTTTGTCTTAAAACATTATGTGACAGGCGTACATAAGACATTAAACAAGGCTTTACGGAAAAAAAAAATTCCAATACACTCTTGCTCTCCAGGCAAACAATATCTTAAACTCTGCAGAGACTCTACCTGTGATAAGTTTACTCTCTTGATCATCCAATCCTTATCTTCCACCAAGACAGTCAGATAAACATTAGTTGGGATGTAAGTATAAAACATTCATAAATCACCTCAGACGAGGATCCAAGCAAGCTAAATCTTTCAAACTATTTAAATAGCATACCTTTGTCTTTAAATTCCACAGAACTGAACATACACAGATATGCCTTATACAAGCATTAACATGAAGCACACCTATTAAATAAAGGCAGACCAGGACTGTATCAGGAACCTTACACCGTAAACACTTTGGAACTTATGAATAGTTAGCTGAGAATCAATTAACTCCAAGCTTAGCAGGGTCACTCTCATATGTTTCTTATTATCTGCCTGCTTTCCTCATTTTTAACAGCTTTTTCACATTCTTCTGTTCTCTCCTGGATTTCAGCATTTGCCCCATCAATAGCCCAGGCAGACGCTGTATTCTAGAAGCAGACCAGACCAAGCTGCCTAATAACAAGGGGTCTGATGTGATCTAGACCACCACACACACACAAAATCAAGAACACTTTCCATCACAGGACACCGACTGCCAAAGTCTGCCAATTGCCTGCCCTGACCCACAAGTTCTGGCTTCCTTTCCCACACCCCCACCAATCCCAAACACACAAATCTGGCTTTCCATGACTATGCCTGCATTTTTTGCAGATATTTCTCCTGGTAAGGCAAGGTCTACAATTGGAGACCGGAAAAAATCAGGGGCAATTCAGTCAAGCTTCCCTTCGCACGCTTTTTCTTCAAATACATCTTCTATCAATCTTAACTTGCTTGTGTCCTTAAACCACCAGAGCATCACTAAGGCTGCATCTAACAGTCAAAGTAAGAAAAGTCCATATACTGGTTAAGAGCAAAATTAAAAGGTTTTCTTTAACAAACCTTTCCTCGCCAGCCTACTGCCTTGAATATACACAGGAACAGCGTTCCCAGGGGATACCAATGTTTTAAGCACCTGCCTGTCAAAAATAGACAGCAGTTTTCTTTACAGCACTGCACCATAAACTGCAGCAGCTGCGGAGCTGACTTATAAGCAGACCACACATCTGTGCAGCACAGACAGGGCTGCTGCTGCCACGAACCTCGCCAGTTGGTCCCAAATAAGCTGTAACCTCTGGGCTGTATGTACTAAACTGTCAGGACACCTCCCAACTGGGTTCGGTAGCTTTGGGCCCCTGGCAAAAGAAGATGATGAAAATATTGGCTCGCTCACCCAGAGGAAACAAAAGGAAATGAGCAGGGCAGCTTGGCAAAGGGCAGCACGACCACCGACAATGTGTCGCTCCACCTGTTCCTAGGGCGCAGGCTGCAGCATTTTTGGCCACGGGAGCATGAACAAACAAATGGTGGGAGAAGGGAAAAAA